CCTGTCGGTCTTCAGTCCTGCCGGCACAGGGGTTGAACCCAATGAGCCACTGGGGGCTCCTAACACGACAACAAAAATCCTGGAAACTAGGAAATTGGGTTTATATATCTGAGGAAGGATGTCCAGGGTGGGAGAAAGAACTCTTGTCTGTTGGAGGCAGGTGCGAATGTTGCAATTGGCCCCCTTGATTAGCTTTTCATGGCCTGACAGTTTTTAGGTGTGGCTTGTTCCTGCCTGGGAAATTCTTTTGTTGAGAGGTGATTAGGTGTTCCTGTTTGTTTCTTGTCTGGAGTCCCCCTCCCCCCGTGTTTGGGTTCCTTTGGACCCTCTCTCTCTCTCTCTCTCTCTCTCTCTTTCCGCTCCCACCCTGGTTGAGGGTGCCGAGTGGCTACTCTTCCGTTTGCATTCCTTTGCTTAAGCCTCCTGCTTTCCGAAATCTTGGCACTCAGGCCTCTCTCTACTCTGTGTATGTTGGAAGAGATGTCGTGGTTTGAGGTTTCCCTCTTGTTTCGGAACTTAGAAGTTTTGGAGCTCTAGAAAAACCTAGACCCAATTCTTTCCTCTCAAGGCCTGGCATGATTTGGAAATAAACCTTTGGGTGACTTCAAAGATTGAACATCTTTGCCTGTTAAGCACAAAATACTTTTTGCAGCCTCACAAGACTTCCCTTTCTCTTGGCTGTGAGCTGTGCTAAGTATGTATGTATGTATGTATGTATGTATTTCCGATATCTCTAGCCCGCCTTCCTCAGCCAAACAGATTGGCACTTTCAATCAAGGATCAATCAAAAACAGGAAAAGACAGGAAGAACAGGATGAACTACAAAAAAAAAAAAAATAGAAGAGAAGGAAGCCGCTTTAAAATTAAGACCAAAGGACAAACAAATTCCACGAGAGCTGGAACTTATTATCCGGCGCAATGAGAACAAATGGCAAAACATCTAAACTATTTAAAAGTTAATGACTTTGCGAATGCGAACAGACCTGGGAAACATACTGGGGAAAAACGAGTGAAAAAAAAGACCAAAACAGCACACAACCCAGAGAAGCAAAGAAGGGAGACCTTACTACTTGACGAATGGGGAGAACGCCCAACCATTGAGGGAGTCCTTTAGAGAACTGACCGAACGGATGTTGAGACCAAGAAGAAAGACGTGGTCACATTCTGACATTTTTCGAGAAAGAGAGGCAGGGGTGTGACTCTGCAGGAGGCAAAAGGGGACCACGCTCCAAATGAAAAAATTCCCCACCCAATCCAAGGGATGACATCCCATTCTGACTTGGGACCATGCCAGAAGGGTCCCATTCCAGAACTGGGAGGGTAGGTGGGGGGGGGACCCCAATAACCCCCACCGGCTCTGTTTAGGAGACTGGAAGCAGGAAGGAAGCTGAACAGATCGGGAAGGCCATGGAAGCCGTCCTGGGAACATTGGCCAGTTCAAACCATGGACTCCGGTCTGGTCACCTGGCCAACCCTTCCCATCCATCTCCGGCAAGAGTGTCCAAAGTACACCACTGAGAATGGGGGCCAATGGAGGAGGAAAAGAGGAGGCGATGGTGGGTCGAAAAGGAAGAAGGTATGGAAAGAGAACCACATCATCACAGGGAGAAAGGAAGACAGAGAATACCTGGCCAAGCCAATTCGATTCTACTTTCAAGGAAACAGGGGTTCATCCTCGGAGAACGTGATTTGGGGCGCAGCAAAAGCTGTGATCAGAGGACACGGCATTCTCAAAGAGAGACGAATTAAAAAGGAACGGTATGCAGCTTAGCCCAATTCTATCATTGGTGGGGTTCAGAGTGCTCTTTGATTGTAGGTGAACTATAAATCCCAGGAACTACAACTCCCAAAAGCCTATTTCTCCCAAACTCCACCAGTATTCACTTTTGGGCATATTCATGCCAAGTTTGGTCCAGATCCATCATGCCAAGTGTGGTCCAGATCCATCATGCCAAATTCAGTCCAGATCCATCATGCCAAGTGTGGTCCAGATCCATCATGCCAAGTGTGGTCCAGATCCATCATGCCAAATTCGGTCCAGATCCATCATGCCAAGTGTGGTCCGGATCTGAGGCAGTTGGGGAGAAGAGAGTCCTGCGTTGACTTCTGTTCTGGTGAAAGGCCGCAGCCAAGCCACAATCACTGGCTTCTTTCCCTTTTCTTACTCTGCGGATAAGATATATCACGCTCCTGTCAGAGCTACAAGGGTGGCCCCAGAAGAAAAGGAAACCCATATGTTTCTGTCTGGAGGAGACGTATGGAAGTGGCCAACTTGCCCCAGAGGATTCCCACAGAAGGAGGAGATCCATATCCTGAGCTCAGGGACGGGGAGAAGCCTAGCCGAGGCACTAGCCCAGTCCGAGCCAGAGGGTTTGGGTGTTGCAGAGACACAACTCGGGGGGGG